ATTACATTCTGATTTGTTCTAAGGCCAATTTACAAGGGTTAATTCTCAGTATAATAGTTTTTAACAAATACCGACAAGGCTTTTGTTTGTCTGTTTTGTGTGAGGACACCAGTGTACTGTCCGTCTACTTATATTGCCATGTCTACATATATTTAGTACTAAAAATTGACATATGAGCTCATAAATTAAAATTTAAAAAAATGGATACAAATACCTTTGTTTCATATGATTTAAAAGATTCAATTGAAATTGGGTGAATAAATCAAAGTATAAATGTCTTTAAAGTTACTAATGCACAGTTTTGTTTCTAGGTGGTCAAACAGTACATAAAATGTTAATGTCTCTTAAATGTCTAATATCCATTGTCTCTAGGATTTTTCTTCAATGGGAATAATTACAAATGATATTCAATGCACTTGTCTTATACCTTTTTTTAAAAGAAATGTAAATTAGATTTGACCTATAAGAAATTAATCATCGATTTGTTTGTTAGAGACATCTGATTAGTTTAGAAAATTTAAATGTTAACTGTTAAATGTAAGATCAAGTAATCAAACTTCTTAAATTTTATAAGGTAAAATATTTAAGCACTGTTGGTGTTTTCATATATTGGTAAATTTAAAAACTTTAAAATTATTTTATGTTATCACAAAAACAAGGTTACTAAAAGTTAAAAGTCCAGCGGGTATTATTCTATATACAAATAGTCAAGAGGTTTCAACTGCATTTCAATTAGAGTACTATAAATATATTTCCTCTTATTAACATAGATTAATTTATCTAAATTCAGAAATTTATACAGGCTATTTTAAGGTACAAACAAAAAGAGGGATCCATGGATTAAAAATTATTAAAAGCTTCTAAATATAAAAATGTATTTAGTAAAAAAAAAAAACATGTTTCAAGGTAAGAAAGTTTTTGTGTGGTAAAACATAATTTTATACATCTAATTAAACAATGGAGTCTAAGTAAGTAATATAAACATCTTAAATAAAGGATAAATATTAACATGTTTCTTTATACCTAAGTTGTTTATATATGTAACACAAATAGTTAAAATTATTCAAGGTTATTCCCTAAGAGCAAATATTAATTTACTGATAAAAACAAAAGTTTGATTCTCATATTAAAGTGACAAACACTTCTTAAAATATTAATTACATTGTGTATGTTAAGTTTTATACTCTAGAGCAACTAACTGGAAAAATGAAGGTTTGTACACCTCTGGTGAAACAGCAACTGTTATTTTAGAGTATTGTTCCACATCACAGAGTCTAAAACTTGGTTAATATAAAAACATCAATAAAATTGTAGTACACTACTCTTCTTTACATATACAATGTGCTTGCTTACTTTGGCTATACTCCCAAATCTCCCTTTTGTGGTGTTTTTGCTAAAATATGAGGCATAACTGAAGGTTGTATGGTACTCTGACCATCTCGCTTTTAGATAGTAAGTATCTGCTGCTGACCAGCAATTAAGTCTTAATTGGAATGGCAGTGTGGGGTCTGAGAGTTATTTAAGGGACTCGGTATTTGTATAACATTCATCCAGAGGAATTTTGCAGTCTGAGGCTATTATTCTCCTTTTAGTTATGGCACTTGCTCCCAGGTGCAATGTAATCTCTTGAGGGTTTTAAATGCTCTATGGCCATGTACCTAGGTGCACACTTACAATTTCAGTAACTTTGGAGGCTGAAGCAGGAGGATTGGAGGTTTCAAGCCAGCCTGGGTGATGTAGTCAGACCCTGTCTCAAATAAAAATATAAAAGGTGTTGGGGTTTGTAGCTAAGTAGTAAAGTTCCCTAGATACATAATTCCTAATGCTACACACACACACACACACACACACACACACACACACACACACACACACAGAGAGAGTCCAGCAGAGACATGCATGCCCTAGCACTTTTAAAAAAAGCAAAAGAAATATTGACACAGCAGAGGAATTAGAATACAACCAAAAGTAGCAGATGATGACTCCAGGCTGCAGGCGGAGTGCAGGGGTACTGCACCTGCCTAGCCTGCATGAGGCCTGGGCTCCATCTTCAGCCCTTCCCCCTCCCTAGCCACAAGGTGGTGCAGATTGATTCTAGGTATTTCAAACCATTGGAAGTAAGTAGAATGAGTCTTCCCAGGCAAGGGGTGTAGCCACTAGTGATCAGCCATGAGTTCTGGTTCCTGCAAGAGCACCCCAGCCTTGGGTTGCAAGGCAGCAGTGTCTCTGGGCTCAGTATTAGAAGTCCACATAGAGTGGGGGTAGGGTTCTGGATTCTGCACTTGTGTCATTCATTACCCTAGGCTTCTTCAAGGAAAGTGACTACAGATGTGCCCTGGGGTCTTTCCATCCTTGGAGAGGATGGAGGATGAAGAGAGTCATGCTAATGATGACCCAGTGACCCAGTGACCTGGTGCGCTCCTAGCACAGGCCTAGTACTTTCCATAGTTTTCAAATCTCCACATCAGGCTGATTTTGCTAGCTGCTTCTCCCTCATGGACACTGGTGCTCACAAGGGAAGCCATGTGCCCATCGAGACACAGCCAGTCCAAGGGCTCTGAATGGGAGGGGCAGGAAGCTTCACAGTGGTTCACTGGCATCTGCAGGACATTGAGTTTTTCTTTTTTTCTTTCTTTTATTTTTTTAATGGGGATTTAACCCAGGGGTTGTCTACCACTGAGCCACATCTCCAGTCCTTTTAAGTTTTTATTGAGATAGGGTCTCCGTAAGTTGCTTAAGGTCTTGCTAGTTGCTGGGGCTGGCCTTGATCTTGAGATCCTCCTGTCTTGGCCTCTGCAGTCACTAGGATTACAGGCATGTGCTATCATACCAAGAGCTCTTTATTATTTATTTATTTATTTATATTGAATTGAGCTTGGTATAAGGGATTGAGACTGGGGAATTTGCCAGTGAGCTACATCCTCAGCCCTGCTCTGAGGAATAGAATATGAATATGCTGGAGTGCTGCTGAACAGGGCCCTGGAGGGGAACCTAACACATCTGGCAGGCTGTGCTTCCTGCCTCTTGGAAGCCACTATCATGCAGGAATCTCAGTCTTCCTGAGACCACCAGGCTGAGAAGTGCACCTAACAGAGGGAGGCCCTAGTGGGCAACAAGTCACATACAGAGAAGACCAGAGGGCACTGTGGTGCATAGCTATATTCCCAGCAACTCAGGAGGCTGAGGAGGGAGGATCACAGGTTGGAGGCCAATATTAGTAACTTGAAACACTGTGTCAAAATAAATAATATGGACTGGAATGTAGCTCAGTCATAACACTATGTATTAAGCACCTCTGTGGCTAGTCAGGGGGGTCAGGTAGGGTCCACTTGGATGAAGATGGCAGGTGAGTCAGTCTCTGGGACTGGCCACCTATAAAAAGCAAGAATGTGCAATATGGCCAACTGTGATCCATTCCTTCTATGGAACAACCATGAGTGGATGATGGGGTGTTCAGGGAGGACCTCTGTGGTGATGCCAACTGAGACCTGGAGGAGGAGCCAGTCTAGTATTGGGGAGTCAGGGGCATATGGGGACAGCAGAAAGCCCCCCTGCCTGCCCATTCCACAGCCAGAGCCAGTCACCATAACAGTTGAACCCCTACTCCAGCTGCTGCTCCTGCCTGGAAAGTAGCAGATTTTCACCCCAAGAGGGAGAGAGAGAGCCAGTCTGCATAAAGGAGAGTTACTTCGGCAATGTGCTGTGACTGCAGAAGGTGACAGCACTTTGATATTTCTTGACACTCCTCCCAAATTGTGGCCTGGCCACAATTCTACTTATCTGATCCCCTTCGAAACTCTTGTCAACTTTTTCTGGAAGCTGCAGATGCTTGGAGTAAGGAGAGAGTTATTTGATCGCAAAAGAATAGTTGAGAAATACTTTGGTTGAATCCACAAGAATGGGGTCCAGGAGTGTCCTGCTTTATTGATCACACTGGGCAGATTGTCAGCAAATGACCAAATAAAAAAAATCCATTTTGAGCTCCAACCAAACAGAAAACAATCCTAGTCTTGAATCCTGTTCCTCACTCTACCTGAGCCTCACTCCCAGCCCAAGAAAGCTAATGTGATGTGCATGTCAATAATCCCCTGCCTACCGAATGGCCACTGGGTTTCTGGCAATAAAATCTGTATGTTTGAGGTGAAGAACACAATCGTAAGAATAAATCTGGATGTTGTGGACAGGCTTGATGTCCTTCACCAGCTGCATCAACTTTTTCCAAACCTGGTCAAATTTCATGTGGTTGATTTCAGTCCAAAAACCCCAGAGGATTTCACCAAAGCTCTCCAGAGGGGCAGGGTACTTTGCTTGTTCCAGCGGCAGGCTAGCCGTGTGGCTCAGCAGGTTCTTAAGAGCAGTCAGGGGGATTCGGTTCCCACAGAAACTGAAGGTTTTGAGCTGGGAACAGTAACACAGGGCTGGTGAGATGGCATTTAGCTGGGACTCTGTTATCTCACAAAACTCTAAGACCAGGGTCTCAAGGGTGTGTGCCACCTTCTCCAGCAAGACCTGGAGGGGCTCAGGACTCATATCTTTCATGAAAAAAGAGCTGAGATCCAGAGACTTCAGTTGATCAGTTCTTGGACACATGGACAGATGCTTTAAATCCTTCTCTTTGAGCGGACAACCACTCAGCGAGAGTGTTTTCCAGGGGGTCTGACTCCTGGAGAGAAAGAAAAGAGTTACTTCTGGTGAATGAAGGCACCAAGTGAATATAGTGAGAAATGGTAGAAGAGAACTGTTTAATCTCAAACCCAAGGTCGCCCTATCCTTCTGATGATGGTGGATCCCCAGGACACTTCGGGTTGCAGAATCTGCTCCTAAACAGCACCCAATTTCAGGGTGAGCATTTCACCACCACTTGAGTGACCAGGTGAGTCCATCATTTCTATGGCTCCTCCCCAAAGAGGAGCCAAGCTCAAGGCCACAGCTCTAGCGACAGGAGGTCAGGGGGAGTCATGTATGAAGGACAAACCCAGGCAAGATGAAGAAAACCAACCAGGGTTATCCACCTGCGAAGCTCACACTCTGTACCCTCCATCCCTCCTCCTCACCCTCAACTCCAGAATCACCACCTGAGGCTCAGAGCAGCCTATCCCAGGGTTGTTTTGGGGGCGGCTCCTCTGCTCCCCTCTGGAGAGAAAAGAGCTTTCCTGTTGCAAGGTGCAGGTGTGGGGGCTTTCCTCCTCCAACGCCCTCTCCTCTGCCCTGTCTCCCACCTCCTTTGCTGGCCATGCCTCCCAGAGAAGGAACCTCACCCACCCTCACTAGCTCCTTTCCCCCCCAGCTGGTTTTCCAGCATGGTGGCACTTCCCAGACCATGCAGGGTACTTTGCTTCTGTGTGGGTGGTGATGAGACCCTCCTTCAGGAATGAGCAGGGGACAAGACCCGGAGGTCACTTGGTCTCTCTCCAGCATCTTCTTCCCTGACATGGCCAGTGGCCGGGGCACAAGCCCTTTTAATGCTCGGTAAGCAAAAATGGCTTTTGCAGCAATGCGCACCCCTCATGCTTACAGGAGGATTTTGTGCAGCGCTCCATAGAGGAAGAAGACGTTGTTCACATAGAGCTCATGGAGTTTTTTCACCTTCCGCAGTTGAAGGCTGAATCTATGAGAAAACCACCTGTTTACAGACCGGCTGGTGAAGACCTGTGGGCTCAAGTCAGAGAGATGGAGGACGCAAAGGTTTTTCATCTCAATCAGGCAAAAACAAAAATGTTCCATTGTTTCTCGAGTCCAGTGCTGAGCATTCACCTCCAGTTCCTGCACGTAGTACAATGGCAGAGTCCTCAGGAATTTAGAGAGTTTCAAGTAGAAACCCCCGATCTGCAGCTTCTCGCAGTACATACGGACCACCCCCTTTCTCTCCTCCACCCACTCCCTGAGGCTGCCAAGGAATCTTTGGAAGACTTTGTCCAGATCAAAATCTATGAAGATCTTCAAGTGTGGCTTCGCTGCTCTTTGGCTATATTTCTCTCTTTCCTTTGGAGATATGGCCTCATGTGAGCAGGCACCCAGTGGGACTCTGGACCACTCATTGCAGCTGTCCCGATTCACTTCCCGAAAATCGATTGCTTTCAGTTTCCATTTCCTATGGAGAAAATGGGAAGGAGGTTCGAAAAAGAGACAAAGACTCACCCAACTTCCAACCTGTGCGTTAGACCCCAGTGAACCCTATGTTCTGGGTGGCTACTCCTCTGCTCTCCTATGTTTCTCCATGCCCTTTCCTCTTGAATTCAGCCAGGGACCCTTCCTGTGGAGGGGGCAGGGCAGCCTCCTCCCTGGCACCACCTGGTCCACCCTTTACCCTGTCCTGCCTCCCCCAAGCTGTTTCTTCCTGGGCCCCCCTCACCTGCAGTAAACGTTCTGGGAAATCAGCAAGTCTAGCCCATTCAGTAGGGTTTTTAATGCCTTCACATCTCTTGTCTTCAGCAGGTACTCCACAGGCAGACAGGCCAAGGGACAGGACAGCACCATTTTCTTTACCATCTCCATATGACCCCCCATTATAGCCTCCTTGTACAACTGCAGGGTGAGCACCCTGGGCAGGTGCTCCAGATTGGGGATGGGCAAGGCCTCGTTGCACTGTACATTTTGTATCACCAGGTCCTGGAGTGTGGGTATGGTCCTGATGCTCATCCTGATGAATCTGCAGGGAACAAAGGTACCCTTTCAGGCCAAGCCAAAAACTCTCCTCAACAATTTGAGGTCCAAATCTTGGTAAGCCACAGCTTTGTGGTGGTGGGGAACAAATCCCCAGTATCCAGTTTCCACCTCTGGTCCTCCCAACTCTAATCCCTCTGGTGATCAAGCAGTCTAAAGGCTTACCAGTCCCATTACGTACAGGTGACTCATCCTCACTTTTGAGATCCTGGGGAGTGAACCAAGGGCTGAAGCATGCCTTATCACTGATCCTAAATCTAAACCTCACTTAAGACCCCCTTAAAGTGAATAGAAATGTCGCAGGGCCAATGCCCAGCTTGGTGGCACAAGCCTGTAATTCTAGCAACTTGGGACACTGAGGAGGACTACAAGTTCAAGTCCAGCCTCAGCAACTTAACAAGACCCAAGGCCCTCATAAGAGAACCAATCAGAATAAAAAATTAAAAGGGCTGGAATATTGCTAAGTGGTAAAGCACCCTGAGTTTAATCCCCAATACCAAAAAAAAAAAATTTAAAAAAAATGAGAACCTCAAGTTCAAGGGAAGACTGGGAAACTGAGCAAGACCTTGTTTGAAGTTCAAGATGTGGTTCAGTGGTATTGAGCTTACCAAGCATGTGAGGCCCTGGGTTTAATTCCCTGTACCACACATAAACACATAAAACCATATACATATGTGGACATGTACAGATGTAAATCTAGATATAGCTATAGCTTAGGGCTGTGCTGAGGGTGGTAGGTCAGTTATATAGGAGGTTACTGAGCCCACATATAGCCTTGGGTTATATTCCCATTGGACCACAAAAATGAAAATCAGAACTTTTGTTGCTTAACTTAGAGGAAGTTTATTTGGGGTTCCTGGTTTCAGAGGTTCATTCCATGGACAGCCAGCTCCATTGCTCAAGAGGCAGAAGAACATGAACAAACAGAACCTCAGAAAAGCTGATCAGTACAGGGCAACCTGAAGGGGTGGGCACGGTGCCAAGAAATTTTAACAGGGGTTCATGGGATGCTTTCATTATATCCCTTGTGGCTTTGAAACTTATTTGTTTCTCTCCCCACCCCCCACATCTTCTTTTCTCTAATCTTCTCTTTCATGATCTCCCTGATGTCCTTCTTGATCTCTCCTTCCTAATCCCATTTTCTTGAATCACCTTTATAAAAGCCCCCTGTTCCTGAGGATAGGCAGAAGCATACGCATTGGGACACTAGTCCCTGTGTTTCTTCTTTGCTAGCAAAACAATAAACCATTTTCCTTTTTCTCAATATCTTGTCATTGCTATTGGATCAGCATGGAGGATTGGGACCAAGCCTTTGGTGGCAAAAATATAAACCTAACGACACACCCACAGGGCCCTATTTCCT